AATTGTGCTGACAAATGAGCAACGCATACAAAGCAAGCATTTTCTAGAATTAAGCCACGAGTTTATCGAGTCTATTCTCATCTCAGGACGAATTAAAATTAGAAATTTGAGCTCATTTTGAGTAATTCAGTTTAAGAGTATTTATATTTTTAAGGACAATACGTTGAATTTTGACCGAAGTCTCCAGCTAACTACTTTAAAAATTAGTTAGCTATTTTCCACCAAGAAATGACTCACCATTGCCTTATCACATGTGCTTCATCCACTGCGATAGCACACAGCTTTTCGGAGTATACTTTATTAGTCAACATTGATCCCCAACGATCGTTATCGAGCCAGGATTCAGGTGTCCCATACACAAGAGGATATTTTCCGGCTTCTACGTCTCTGGGATCTCCTTCATTTTCGACATCACTTATGTTTATTGCAGAAGTACCTAGGCTATTCAAATAGGCAGCTTGATCCTTGCTTAGATTAAGAAGCGGGCAGACAACAACAACAATACTACCCTGACGAGGCATTACCACGTCAAACATCGTTGGCAGAGCTTGGAATATCAGCGATTTGCCATAGTCCGTCGGCAAATTCAAAAAAATATCTCTACCCTGCATAAATTTTTCGATTGCAACCTTTTGATAAGCATTTAGCTCTTTAAATCTGAATTTTTCGCAAACAGCTTTGAGCGCCTCCTCAACAGCCGCCATGTTGAATTTGCAGAAGGCGGGAATGGCTTCTCGATTTCTAGAGTCGCGCTCTCATTGGCTAACGGAATGTGGTGCTGCTTGAAGCAGCCGTGTCTGAGGGAGCGTTGCGTGACCGAAACATCACGGCTGCGGGGAGACTACGGATAGGTGTGCAAGATGGAAAAATCGCAATCACCCAAACTTTGTCACATTAAAGCCCTTATGAAACTATTTTAGAAAATGCAAGATTCAGTTTCTTGCTATAGATATTTCCAAAAAAATTATTTCTTTTAATTTTCACCTCCGAGAAGCCCTTAAACCACCGAAAAATATGCTTCGCATCCTCGTGTGGTCAAAAGAGAAGGAATCAAATACCATGCTTATTGTGATATAAGATGATTTTATGACCCTTCCTTTGTAAGAAAACGTTGTTGTGATTTCAAAAGATTCCAATCTGAAATTTAAATTTTTTTTCAAAATTACCTAAAACAGTTTCATCGCAACTATCAATTTTGCCATTTTTCAATGGCAAAAAACCCTGCCTGGTACATGGCTTTCATTGTGCAAATGCTATTCCAGAGAAACAGCAATCCTTTTTCTTTCAATTTATGAAATAAAATATTGGGGCAATTCAAACGGCAAGTTTTGAGAACTGAAAACATCAAACGGTACTTGTGTGAAATTTACAACTTTTGAACTTGCGGTTGCAATGACGAACACAAGCAGGACAAAAGTGAACTTGGACAGCAGTTTAAATACTTCGAGAATTCAATCCTTTTCCACTAGTTCGATAACTAAACAAACGATTATGACTTCGTAGTGGCAATTATCTGAAAGGAAAAGCATTTTTATTGCGCGAAATTGAGCTGTAAACTTCTTGACAACACTTCCCGTACCTGCGCATTTGTTTACTTTGAAGCCTGACTTGTACCAGTTATCTAAATATGAAAAGTATTCATCGAAATTTTCGTATTTCGTCTGAAAGAAACCGTGCAAGCAATTATGGAAGAATAGGACAAACATTTACTCACCTCATATACATATATTGTTGAAAAAAGACCAAAATCCCTCAGCTAAACCAGATTGCGTGACATCCTCTTTTACTAAACCCAGGGGGTGGGGTG